ATGGATGGATGGATGGATGGACGACATTCTATTCTCACTTCATTATTTCATTGTAAATTTGGTTTTTACCTTGCAATGTGCAAAATTATCGCTTGTCAAAGGAACCCCAGGATTCGAAAAGGTCGTTTGATTGCTTTCAGTAAAGCTGTTACCATTATCTTCAAAGGCTACCCAGTCCTATAATATGAAACATCAAAGGTAACTGCTATACTTTTGGTATAAACGCGACACTGAATGCTTTGTGAACTTTCAATTGCCACCTGTTGTTATGCATACTATAAGTCTAAAAATAAGTCTGATAGAGTCTGATGGCTCTGAAAAAGGGTGCCTAACTTTTAAATTGCTGCAACTGTTAAGTTGCCACCAAAATAATAAAGCACTTTGAGCTGCAGGTTTGGCCTACGGTTTCGCGAGTTGTTTATCGGGTCAAGTTATAGGAAATTAAAGACAATTCAAATAAAGCATTCGCGCTTATATAATATGCTGTTCTACAGGCTTACCACTTCAATATTTTCATGTTTCCCATCAAACATTTTTACTTCTCGAAGACAAATCCTAAAATAATGAAGGCTCACTTCTTCCAACCACACGACCATAGCATCTTGTGGTCGCCTAGTAACCGAATGAGTGACAGTTGACAGAATCTTGGGGCGTGTACCAAATGACTAAAAACCAACATAAAATTTAACCAATTATAACGCAAAGGAAAGAAAATAGTGAAAAGAAACAAGCAAATAAACGCTGTATATTCGTATTTCATTTGACGGGATGGGCTCCAAGGATGGTGAAGAGGCATTCAGTACTCGGGTTTGATCACATGTGAGTATATATTTAGCCTCTCGTCTTGATTCCGGGTTTTCCCCCAGCTTCTCCTAGCTGTAGGGCCTACCATTTAATCCAATCCATCCGATAAATTGGAAATTTTTTTTGCCTCTGATGACAATTTACCGACGTACCTTAATGGTACAAATGCCATACGCGTCTACGGAAGGAACTGAAAAGAGTGGGGAAGATTTAAATGAGTTACCTCAATCGGAAGACCGATTTTTCCGGAATTTTCCTACCGGAATTTCCGTTTTTTCGCGGGTATGATGGTAACACCTCGGTTTTGCTGTCTTAGAAAATCATATCACGATAAATCCCAATCAGTTCTGAGCCCGGTGAGTTAGCCGTGCCCGGATGCAGTCGGTCCAGGATATTGATTTTGAAGACGGATGGTAAATATTATAGATTAAGGTTTTTATTTTCAAAAAATTACCTTGCATGAAATGTGGACGTAATTTTCTATATAGTAAACATAGCGTTACTCACAGATGGAAAGTTCACTCTTGTACACTTCGTATCACTTGTAAACAAACCAACTGCGGCCCTGCCAGATACCATGTTTGATTGTGGGTTTTGAAAAGCCATCCAGTTCACCACTGAATTCCCATTAGCGCCATCTCCAGACACGACAATGCAAACATCAAACCCTGTAGGGGAGATATTTTCAGTCCAAGCTACAGCAGAGTCATGAACCCTCGAGAACTTTTCGCCATAGTTTAACGATACTATGACATGGACAACGCCCGAACCATTGAAGGTTGTTGGGAAGGTTACTGAACGACATTGTATCTTGTTTTGATGAGAGCTGGATAGCTGTATTTTCCCTTTCTGTAATGTTCCTTTCGGGGAAAAAAAAAACATAATTAGAAATCCGTCAAAAAGTTTTATGAAAATGTTATTTGAAAATAGGAAAAAAATCGTCGTTACACCTACCAGCGCTGCATATGCTGGCCAGAACAGCAAAATCTACGACAATACACAAAAACTTCCAATAGGCCATTTTTGTTAGATTTTCCTTCAGTTCATAAACATCGATAGAGCTGCAGCACTAAATGACTTACAACATTATCGTAAATGTCTTTTTATTCTCAACATTAGGGCCTGGTTTTATGTGGCGGGATTAACCAATAGTAGTTGAGCGGCGAGTTTGGCTCCGCTTCTGATTGGCTAGGCCTATGCCTATGGTGGCCCGTTGGGACAAATTTTTATGTGTGTGTGCGCTAACACTTTTATGTCTCTAAGTGGCAAAACGTCTAAGAGGGACAAACACATCTTTCATGTTTGTGAGTGCAAAACTTTTAAGTATGGTAGCCGCCCGTTGGGACAACTTTTTTTGTGTGAGCGCTAACACTTTTATGCCTGTAAGTGCAAAACGTCTAATAGGGAGCAAACACAGCTTTCATGTTTGTGAGTACAAAACTTTTAAGAATGGTGGCCCGTTGGAACAAACTTTTATGTGTGTTTGTGCTAACACTTTTAGGTCTGTAAGTGAAAAACGTTTTATTGAGCAAACACAGCTTTCATGTTTGTGAGCGCAAAATTTTTAAGTGTGGTGGCCCGTTGGGACAAACTTTTATGTGTGTGAGTGCTAGCACGTTTGTCTGTAAGCGCAAAACGTTTAAGTGAGCACAGCTTTTATGTCTGTAAGCGCAAAACTTTTAAGATAGTAAATAAGTTCATGTTCGTGAAGGCAAAACGTTTAAGTATGGTGGCCTGTTGGGACAAACTTTTATTTGTGTGAGCGCAAACCACTTTTAAAAAGTCTGTTAAAAAATTAAAAGGTTCAAGACAGCAAGCACAGC